AAAAAAAAAAAAACAGTTTTTAAAATGAAATAAAATAAATAGAATAATAGAAAAAAAATTTTAAAGTCCCCCGTGAGCACGCGCGTCACCACGTAAACACGCGACGGGTGCGCCTACGTATGAAAACAACGAACACGCTATACATGTTGGGTATTGCCGCGCACGCCGGAGTGAGAGCAATAATTCTAGGGCCAGTATTTTGGGGTATCTCTAAATTGATGACCTGTGTGGGTGTTTAAAGCGTCTTCTATGGACTTTTTGGGGTACTGCAGTTTTTTGCCGTTTCACGGACGCACGCAATTTGTAAACTGGGCATGTTGACTGTTTTGTTAATTATATAGTTGAACATCTCATGTTTGAATTTACTGTCAAAGAAAAATGTTTACATAAAGTCTTTTTACAGAATTATTCTTTATTTCTATATGTCAGCTCTTACCTATAACCACTTGATGAAGTTGCTGAGGTGTCAGTTCTAAGCTGCAGTCCTCCTTCTCAGATGCAGTGCATGGCATTGCATTAAGCCCCTCATTAATCTATAGCACAGAGTACAATGTATTAATATGATAAAATAATAGCAGAGAATGCCAAAGTTTCCAGTTGAGGTGGCACCTTAGGTTTCAAGGACTAGCTAGGGGGCCATACTGATATCCATAATCAGCATGGCTGTCTTTCAGTTTATTTTAAAAGTTCACTTATTTCCATTTAAAAAGGGGTTTCGAAGTTAGGATCTCTAGGCTTAGCAATTTTAGCAATACTATTTGAAACTATTATTTTTTCTATCCTTATATACAAAGATTTCAAGGATATTGACAATGCAACAATAAAGTGGGGCTTAGACCGCAGGAGCCAAGGGAAGAAGAGGCTGCGGGCACCGGTCTAGCAGTCAGTCAGTATTGAGGATCGCTTGAATATGTATTCATTATTTGAGCCCTAGAGAAAAGTGAGCAGTTAACCCTTGCAGTTTGGGGGTAGACCAACTGCAAGGGTTAATTTTTCTACAACCTGGAGTTCTTCTTTAATGCAATGCACTTTATGCATTAATATTCCCTATGAATGGCACCCCCACACACACTAAAGAAACAGCTAGGATACACATGCATTGCAGGGCATCACAAAATATAGTAACACACTACTGTGTATTGTGGTGCGCTGCATTAGAAAAATGCCGTATTTCCATTTTTGGTGAATTCATCGGAATGGGCTACCTAAACACAACACGTTAATGTATGACACACTAGGTAAATGTTTAGGATTAGAAGTTCTTGCCAGACATAGGTAGACAGCTATTCAGTGTACATGTTTAGTCACAAAACATACACTTTGTTTGAAATTTCACTGTATTGGCCTGTTCATTAAGCCCTGTTCCTGCTCCTTCTTTGGGCCTAGTACTAGACCAGGGGTTGGCAACCTCAGCACTCCAGCTATAGTGAAGCTACCAATCCCATGAGGCATTGCAAGACTGACAGCCGGAGGCATGACTCCCAGAGGCAGAGACATGATTGGATTTGTAGTTTCACCAGGAGTCTTGAGGTTGTCTACCTCCTGGACTAGACTGTAGCTAGGGCTTAGGCTTCTGCTCATGACCACATTAAGCTCCCAGCACTAAACCCAGAATGGCAGGGGCAAAGCTAAGTGTTTAGAGGAAATGGGGCTTAAATGGCGCTTAAAGCATGTGTAAGTATATAAATGCAATACTGAACAGATAAAGCAAAACATTTTCAATAAAAGTTTGAACAGACCAAAATAGACCAAAATAGTTTTACATTGTTAGGGTTTATATACCCGTTAATCAATTTCCTTTGCACAACCTGATGTAAGTGATGTCACAGGTACACGGGAATCCATTCGAAGACTAACACAGCTACTTGCAAACACCACATGGTACTGGCAATTCAAAGTATAATATACTTACTTCCATGGTCACCGATCTAGATTCTACAGATGCCAGCTGGCAAGTTGTCAACATGCGGCCCTTAGTCATGGGAGCAGTTTTTGGCTTTTGTTGCTCACTAAAACATTCAGCAGTAGAGAGAGTGGGTGGCTCTAGACCTGCTGCTGGTGTAATGCCAATTTCTACTTCATTGTTCATTTCTTGAAACTCTCTAAATTAGAAATTAGGTTAGGATAGCAAAACATAAGAAAATCAACAAGAATGTAACATACAAAGACGTGGAGTGGAAAGCATGTAATATGTCATCCCTTGAACAGGATCATATTGATCAGGATTGATTACAAACATAATATACCGGTCTTTGTTTTCTTTAAGGCGTCGCTCCCTCCTGTTTTTTATATAGTCGGTATAATAGTCCTTATGGACTTGCTTTAACTTTTCTTCTTCTTCTGAGTATGTGTAATCAGGATCCACATAGTTATACCTCTCCATTTTGGTGAATATTGTCCTATTATAAGATAAAATTGTCATTCTATTTTCATGCATGGTTCAGGGTGTAAATCATGTAACTTATATGCTACATAAAATATATGTATAATATCTTAAAAACGATAATCAAAAAGGTTCCACAACGTTTAACTGATAAGATCTTTGGCAGTAGTTTGTGGTACTGCTCCATAGGGCAGAATGAAGGTACTACTCATTTGCAGGTGGATTCTCAATGTATTTATTTATTATAAGTTAAACACTATCCATCAGCGGGATGTGACACCATTATTTGGCTGTAGCAGTCACCCGATACCCAAATCGCCTCAGTCCAACATGCCCCCGCTAAGTAACAGCAGTAGACATGAGTTTTGCTCATTAGAGAGCTCTAGCTGTGACTCACAGGGGACATCTCAGACCATGCCTGAGAAATTGCAGAACAGTGGCCCTTCTGTGAAGGGAATTCCTCTATAAAGAACCTAACTGTACAAACACACTATTTTTGTTAAGCAGTCAATTGGGTTTTAAACATTGATTAACCAGAGAGGAATTTAGTCCAACCTCACATAAACAGTTTCAACCATATCAGTCTTAAAGTAACCCTATACATTGCTAAGAACTCAAAACAACATTTATATTAAAGGAGAACTATGACATAAGTGATTTCCACTCACCTCATAGTTCTAAGCCGACCTATGACAATGAGACTGTCACAGGTCGGCTCAGTAGATTGGGAGGTGAGGGAACACATATCGGGTTCCCTCACCTCTCGATCCTGTCACGGCTCTCTGCCGTGACAGGGGGAGGGGCTGGATTCCCCTCTCCCCGCTCCGATCTGCCAGCGCTGACTGGCGGAACGGACGGGGGAGGTGGCGGGTACAGCTGGCTCTGCCTCTAGATAGGCATAGCCAGCTGTCACTCACGCAGCTGGGCGGATCCCGTCATCTACGTCGGGATCCGCTCCAGGTGCGGCGTCTCAGTATACCACGAGCTGTAGCTCGCGGTATACTGAGCTTAGGGTAACGGGAGGACGCTAGTTTGTGTCCTCCCGTTACCCCAAGGAGAACTATGGGGAAAAACACTGACCCCATAGTTCTCCTTTAACGTTTATGTGTATTTGTTGTTGATCTTAATGTCAGTTCTAATGTTTCTTTTGGATTCATTGTGTACGTGTACATGAATGTTTTACCTGCTCTCTATGTAGTAGGAGTATGTAGAGCATGGGGTACAGGGTGTGATTCTGTGGATGTGGCTATAAACGGGGGTGTGGTTTTGTGAGTGTGGTTGAAAATGGGAGTGTTCAGTAGCATGTCCCTAGGCTTCATTTTAAAAATCTGGTAACCTTAATGTGAAAAAAACATATTTCTAATACTGTACATACTATATAACAATGTAAAAAAATACAAGGAAGTCCCCTCACCTACTTGTCTTTCTGCAGGGAGGAGGCGAGCATGCAGATCCATGGTGATCTAGTGTGATTAGTAAGGTCTGCAGACACTCAGTGAAGAGCTCCGGCCGAAAGGAAGGGAGACAGACCAGCAGGAGCAGCTACTCCCACGAGTCAGGTATGCGGTCTGAGACCGCAAGCCTGACAGGAATTTCCACTCGCCTGCACTGCATTTCCACTCGCCAAATGTGAGCAGGCGAGTGGAAATGAGGAGCTCTGCACTAATACATGCACTGATCCATTTATCAGAATGCAAACTGTTTTGTAATAGTTGTCCTAGAATCTGATTCCAGAGTTTTTTGTTTTTTTTAATAACCTGAAAACTAACCTATGCTTAGGAATTGTCAAAGGGAGTCAAAAACAATGGTTACTGGAAATGTTTAGAGGAGCTCAGTGAGAAGTAGCGTTTACAGGTTACAGCACATAAAACCCTAGATTACTCTCTAGAGACTGTTCCTGGAAACATTTTAATGTTCATTCAAGCCAGTCATTTTTTTATATTAAAGCATATAAGTGTATGTACCCTAGAACCACTGTATTACTGTTACCTATAAAGGTTTACACTAATAAGCAACCAACTGCTATGTTAAAAATCATGTCAGGATTCGTCAAGCTGATTAGTAATAAATCTAAAGAAATATAAATCATTTTGTCAATATTTGTTAGATATGCTTCCATGATCTGCGTCACAGTAATACTGTTTTTGCTTTCACACAGGTAAACAATCTTTTATATACGGTACCTGTATTGTACTTTGCGGTCACTAGGTCTTATGCTTGCTGCTCGATCATTTGGAAATGCCACTTGCACATCTTTGTCAACATCACTTGTTATTTGGTGATCGTGTATTTGTGTTTTAGCTGCATTCAAAGTGGCCATGCGTAAGGATCCCATGACCGCTGTAGATTCCTGAGGTGCTCCTTGTACAAACTGTCCAATGGGGTTAGTAACCAAAGGAGTTATTCCTGCATTAAAATGGTAAATATTGAGTTATTTTGACCTGAGGTACGCAATTATGTTTTGCATTGTTTAAAGCAGTAGTAGACAACCTCGGCACTCTAGCTGTGGTGAAAATACACATTCCATCATGCCTCTTTCTCTGGGAGTGATCACTGTGGCTGTGGCTGTCAGAGTCTTGAAATGCCTCATGGTAGTTGTAGTTCCACAACAGCAAGAGTGCCGAGGTTTAAAGGAACGGAAGGTCATCAGTACTTTTGGTATTCCATACATAATTGGAAGATTAAGCTTTTTCCAAGTTCTCACAATTCTGATATCTGCGTCCACCTATAAGAGGTCTCCACACATGCTTCTGTTTGTGCAGAGGCTTCTAATGAGCTCTCTGTATGTGTTGGCACACAGTTATTGGTGCCCAGTACAAAATCTATTTGCTAAGACCATTTGCTTAAACAGAATATTTTCACGTTTTATTGGTCCTGGCTTAGAACTTTGTGACACCGAACATGGGGAAAAAGTACGACTAATAACTATAAGGAAAAAGCCTTTTTTTTTTTTTTACTTTTGAGGCTTACTGTGCCTAATAGCAAATAAGGTCTTGCTCCCCACACAATTAGCACAATTGGACACAATGCTGTAAAACCAGAATGCCATATAAAACAGGCTCAGTTCAGAATAATCATGTCTGCAGCAAAGTTCAGAATCTTCTTATGGGCACCATAGCTAAGAGATACCATATATTTAAGTGTTTTAAGAGGTAAATGCACCTTTGTATGTAATAAAATATACAGAGAGAGAGAGACAGAGAGAGAAAGAGAGAGAGAGAGAGACAGAGAGAGAGAGAGAGAGAGAGAGAGAGAGACAGAGAGAGAGAGAGAGAGAGAGAGAGAGAGAGAGAGAGAGAGAGAGAGAGAGAGAGAGAGACAGAGAGAGAGAGAGAGAGAGAGAGAGAGATAGACAGGGACAGTAAAAAAAACATATAAAACATTGGTTAAAAATGTATAAACTTAAAAAAGGTATATAAAATTGTCCCACATTCATTGGAGTTTTCCTTTAAGAATATTGAGTAAATATTCAAGGGATCAGACTCAGTATTCTACTATGGGCACTTTGGACTAAATGTAGTACTATTAAGCACCAAAAGCCTATTCCTGAGCATACTAGCCTTAATATGCAACAGAAACATGTTATCACGGGTACCAGTTACTGAATATTGTGCTGAATGTAACAGTGAATATTTTTTTCGTTTTTTTCCCACAGCAGTCATATTTTTTTAACAAGAGGCATTGTTACTCCCATAAAATGTCTAGTGGCTATAACTGGTGAAATACTATATTCTAGCCAACATTGGCACACACATATTTTACACTACTATACATTGTATTATATTTTTTGTATTATATCTATTGTACTATATTTTTGTGGACATTGCTGCCAGAAAAATACATCACGGAATGTGTCTGAGCAATGTTTTAGAACTTCTTGCTAAGAATGTTTAAGAGGAACCTTTTAGAATAGAAATATACCAACTGCAACTGCTTAGACAGAGGGTCAGTGGTCAGCAGAAATGTGAAACCGGGTCAACTATATGATCTCTCACACTGTCTCTCATCTACTGAGTATGCATTGTGGGGGGTCAGATAGTTACCACTCCAACTAGGAGGTAAACGCAAGTAAGGCTAAATAAGGGGGAATATAAATAAAGTCATGTAAAAATGTCAGTACGCTCATGAAAACTGTTGATGTTTATTAACATACAGTATTTCAACAGGCAAACATGCTCTTCATTCAAACAATGCCTTGAGATACAGGTGATATACTTATATAAAAAGACAAGGGCATTCTATTGTAAAGCCGACTGTCGTTGCCCCTCCGTTGCCCCTCATACGGGCCCGGGAGCGGCTTATGTGGTGTCCGCGGGGAGCTGGGGAGGAGATGGACGTAGCTCCGTTTCGTCAATCCCCTCCCCGTTCTATGGGACCGGGAGAGATGCAGATTGCATCACTTCCGGTCCCATAGCTGTCAGTGCTGGGCTCCTGAAGCTCAGCTATCAGCTATTGAAGTGCGATCTACACTTCAATAGCTTATTTGGAGTGTAAAGGTGACACTGGGGGTCTTTTGGACCCCCAGTATCACCTTAAAGAGTACATGTCACCACCATCTGCTATGACATGGGGGGCTTGTAAGCCCCCTATGTGATAGCAATGAAAGTAAAGAAAAACATTTTTTTTTTATAATTAACATGAAATAAAATAAATCTAAAAATTATTATTTTTTTAAATGTTTAAGTCCCCCGCGAGCACGCAGGTCGCCACATAAACACGCGTCGGGTGTGCCTACGTATGAAAACTAGGAAACGCGCTCCATCGCCGCAAATGCCGGAGTGAGAGCAATAATTCTAGGGCCAGTATTTTTGGGTATTCCCTAAACTGATGACCTGTGGGGGCTTTTAAATCGTCTATGGACTGTTTGGGATATTGATGTTTGTCGCCGTTTCACGGACACACACAATTTTTAACCCAGGCATGTTGGGTATCTATTTACTAGTTGTAACCTCATCTTTTATATTTTATTTAAGAAATTGGTATTTTATTGTGTTTTGGGGCATTTAAGTACATTTTTCACTAAATATTGGGGTTTGATAAGGTGTTGCGCTAATATTGTGCAACATAAAAATTTGCAACTGCCAACATTTTATTCTATAGGGTCTTGGCTTTCAGAAAATATATAATGTTTGGGGGTTTTTAGTAATTTTAGGCCTAAAATGTGGAATATAACATGGGTGCAAAAAAATTTAAAAAAAGACCTCAGTCATGAAGGGGTTAAAGTCTTTTATCCTTACAGACTAATTTTACATTTAATAATATCAGTGCAACTAGGAAAAAAACAGCAAATACAGTTACTGTATTTAAATTTACTTACCAGGGTTGATTTTCATGACTATTTTGTTAGTTGATGGTTTGCAGGCTGCAATAAAAGTGAGCTTTTTTTGGTGAAAGGCTTTTGTTTTTAAATGATCATCTGATGTGGGACCCAAAATATCTACCACTTGTTTTACTTTAAAAGTTCCTGGTTGATGTGGAACAAATGAAAACATCACATCCTAGAAAAGAACAGAAATATAAGACAAAAATACACTAAAAGACTGATTGTTATTTATCCTTGCTTAAAAATGTTGCTGGCTAAAATCTCCTTAAAGCGTATCTAAACCAAAATCCCCCCAAAAAATATATTGCAGTTTAGCAATGCTTAAAGGTGGTAGCTGTGTTCGTTTTTTAAGCTTTTTTCCCTTTATTTTCCTGAAAATGAAAACGAATGCAGCCTGCACATCTAGCAATTGGTAAGCTGCAATAGATAAAATTTCACTTTTTGGTTAAGATATGCTTTTTTTTTTTTATCTTTTAACTACTGAAAATGTTAATGATCTTAAGGTATGGAAAAACGAATAATGTATTTTGTGGCACTGTTATTTTTACTTCTAACTTTAAATTATTTTGAATATTTCAATTGAGATGTATTTTTTTGTTCAGTAGAATAACTTTGAACTAACACATTTTGTTTCAAACGGCTCCTGGATAATGAATGATGTTTATTCCCTTATTGAATATACTTTATCATTTTAAGATCATTATTAAAACTATCTTTCTGTAAATCAAAGATGCTTTACAAATACTTGTATCTATTTAAAAAACACACAGTAACACTATAAGAGATGAAACAACCATGCTGCACCCCTTTATGACACAGTGGCACTCAACTGTTGCTCTCTGCCACCAGCTCCTGACAAACCAATGGTTTTTTTTTCTGAATTATTAATCATCTGGAAGAGCTCTACTGTTTATGTCTAAACCATTTACAGTATATGTAAAATCAACTGATAGCAATTGTGGTAGCCACTTTCTATAACAAAACATTGCATTTTATGTGGTATTTATGCTACTAACAGACAGCAGGGCATCACCAAGTCTAAAATCAGTCTTAGGACAGCAGCTGTGTGTATTTAATACATTACAAAAGATAAAAGCTCCATCATTTATGTATTTTATGAAATGCAGCCTCTCCAGCACTCCTTTAGACATGCATTGAGTTAGAATGGACATAAGAGAGTTTGCTTTGCTAACTTGCCTTTAAATGATCAATCTATTGTTTTATCATCCTTACTCCACATACTTACTCGCCACATTACATGTCACAGTAGCGATCCTGTGGATGCCAGAATCTCATGTCTAGAGAACCGCTATTGGGGTAGGTGTAAACAGGGTTTCTGTGTGTTGATTCCTTGTCAGCTGGTCACTTGAGACAAAGCTCTCCGACTGGTGACAGGATAAGGGAGGTTGGGCTTGCTCCTGACAAACCTGCACCCAATTTTATCTTTTGCTACATGTGCTCCAAGATGGAGACTCTCATAGTTACCGTAATATGCCATCCATGGCAGTAGATGATGGATTGTAGTAAATGATGAATGGCAGTAATTGATGGATGGAATATTATTAACAGTCACAATTAACGATTTAAACGAAATACTTCCCTGTAAATAAATCTCTGTTTCCTCGATAATATTGGTCTGTGCGCAAGACACCCACCCCCCCCCCACCCCA